TTTTCAGTTTTAGTTAAGTTTTCGTTTCATTTATTTATAACCAGTGATTTTTCTGCTTCAACTTAAAGTTATTACTCATCTAAAAAAAAAATGTTTTATTATTTTATTTTACCATTTTATTATTATTTCAATTAGTAAGAAGTTTTTAATAGTTTTAGTTTTAGTTTAACAGTCTTATCTAAAAGTCACTGCCTTTTGGTTGTTTTTCTGTGACATCACAAAAGTGGAAAATCATTATAAAAAGAAGGTGGCAAAAAAACAAACAGAATTATGTAATGCAGTAGCTCCAGCTGATCTGCAGTGGTTTGACTGAGAATCACAGTGTGTTAATGTGAGCGACGACACCATTCTCATTCAAAACAGCATCTTCATTAATGGGATGTTAAACCTGTTAAACTCTTGTGTTTGATCCAACAGGAAGTGCTGTCACACACACACATATGCATACACTCAGAGTGTGTGTGTGTGTGTGTGTGTGTGTGTTAATGGCTCCCCAGAGACTCCAAACTCTCCTGTGAGGTTCCGATGAAGCAGAACAGATATAGGCTTAGATCTCTGCCACAATTCAGCGCGCAAAAGATCATATTTTGAGCGCACAAAAGTCCATTTTGCACACGCGCAATCTGAGTTTTGTGGAGAAAATGTTTGTTTCGCAAAGAAAAAAGTATTTAGAACGCACGAAAATCAATTTTGCATTTAAAATACGTTTTTGGATGTGTGCAGACCTTCTCTTTTGCGTGTGCAAGGTTTCACTAGCTTGCTCACCTGATACCCTCAGTGCTCTCTAAATGCCAACAGCTCACATGCTCAACACAACCCAGCGTTACAATGTGCCATAATTCCAGCCAATCAGAGACCAGGCTGCTAAATTCTGATTGGCTGCCTTGAGCACTGAGGGCATCAGGTGAGCAAGCTAGTGAAACCTTGCAGTCGCAAAAGAGAAGGTCTGCACACATCCCAAACTTATTTTAAATGCAAAATTGATTTCCGTGCGCTCAAAATACTTTCTTCTTTGCGAGACAAACATTTTCTCCAGAAAACGCACTTTTGCGCGCTCAAAATATGATCTTTTGCGCGCAGAATTGTGTCAGAGATGTAATCCCATAGACAGGCAGCAAACACACACACACACACACACATACACACACTGGTCTCCCTGCCGGCTCTTGCTGCTATCAGGTCGACCTCAGTCAAAGAGTTTAATCCCGTGAAACATTTCCTGCTCTGACGAGAAATCAATCAGAGCTCCATCAGCGTGACATGATGAAAAGCACAGATCACACACTCTCAGCCCAATACACAAACAGCACAAAGAGGCGAGAGAACCAGACACACACCAGCTCAAGAGACGCTCATGAAACGACTGCTGGAGAAAACACAATCAGAAAAAACACACAAACATGAGCACCATCGCATATTAGTGTTCAAATCAAGCTGAAGACTCACTGCTTAAAGCTTGTTATTTACACACACACACACACACACACACACACATACACACACACACACACACAGACAGACAGACAGACACACACACACACTCTCACACTCTCTCTCTCACACACACAAACACACACACACATTTGTTGCAGTGAATTGTGGGGACTTTCCATATACTTATTTTACTTTTATACTGACCAAACGATATTTTCTATCCACTAACCCTAAACCTACCCCTTACAGAAAACCTGTTTGCATTCTTATACTTTCAGATAAATACCATTTACTATTTTTTCCTTCGTGGGGACCGCAGGCCAGTCCCCATTCCGTAAAAAATGTAAGCTTTTACTATCCTTGTGGGGACATTTGGTCACAATCACACACACACACACACACACACACACACACACACACACACACACTCATATGGGAGGGTCAGGGCCTATTTTTAAGCTCAGAGGAAACAGTGAAAAGTATTTTTTTAGGAACCGAGTGGTTTGGCTTTCCTGTGAGGTTTCAGATGTGTGTGTGTTTCCTCTATGACTCACAGTGATTTCCATGCATGTTGATACGTGTAGGACTGCCCCTTGTGTGTGTGTGTGTGTGTGTGTGTGTGTGTGTGTGTGTGTGTGTGTGTGTGTGTGTTTTTAAAGCTTTTACTTGCCTTGATAAAGGTGGTTGCTAACAAATGGCTAAATGAGACTACAGAGGTTATGGGGGACATTAAACATCATCACATTAAACAGGTCAACTCATCTACTCACACAGCCTTGTTGTGTTAGAGAAACGCTGAAAGAGAATCTGACTGTAAACAGCCTGAGGAAACCACCACAGCACTGAGATATTATTATTATTATTATTTATTAATGCTGGCAGTTCAAACGCCTCATATATCAAACCAATAAAGTCTTTGAAACTGCACTGGAAGAAAGAAAAAAAGTCAAGCAAAACTGGTATCTACAGAGACTGAACTGCAGATTATTTGTGGTTGTTAAATGACTTAAAATGCACTGAAAAAATTTGTGCAAAAAAACAATTTTCACTGAGAAATTGTAAGTAAATTTTGCAAAGAATTATAAAGAAACTACAAATGGCAAGTAATAAATGCTAAATAAAAGCTAAAAAGCTAAAAAAAAGCTTTTTAAAAAGCTAAAAATTTTTAAGCTTTAATTTGTCCAACAAAAAAAAAAAGAAAAGAAAAAGAAAATCACAAAGTAAAAAAATCAGATGATTGAGATTGTGTTTGTAACCCAAACTTACTTTTTAATAAATATTTTAATCTTATAGTTCAAAAATGTGGTGTAAAATAAATCCACTCAGAAATGACTGAATTTCACAAATAATTACAAACTAATAGCAAGTAATGCATTGAATTAAACATTACATTTTGACATTTTTATTTTAAAGTTTTATTTATTTATTTTATTTTATTTTTTTCTGAAAAATGCTTTTCAGTAATCCTTGTTTACAACTTCAAAAATCATTTCTACAGTGTAAACATGTCTGCTTTTGAATATTAAATGATCATGAATGCAAATAAAGTTTACCAAACCACAAAAGCTTGCTCAGATTAAGCTGATTATCATCTGTGACGAATTTAATTTCAACCGCAGTCGGAAAAAAAGTGCATGTAAAAATGTTAAATGAGAGCTCATGAGCAAAGAGTATGAGAACACAAAATCATCGGAGTTTCCTTTTATAATCAATGAAGAACAGCTTTACATTTCCTTGAACATAAGCCTGTGTGTGTGTGTGTGTGTGTGTGTGTGTGTTTTTTAGAATTTTTATCCATTGCAACATTGTTTTTATGATAATTAAACATTACAGCCTCATTGATGGTATGTATTTAATCTCAATTAAAAACAGGAAATATCAAATTCAGAACAACAGACAACATGATTTATAAATGCTTTACCATTTAAATATACCATTTTTATTTCATTACAGTAAATTGAATTTGACTGAACATGTTGTTGAGAAAATGGTCACAAAGCACAAATTTGGGGTTAAATGTCACCTGACCTGAGGTTCACTATACTTCAAAATCAATATTGGATGTAAAACTTTAAAACAGACAAATTCACAATATATTTTGCAAAAAAAAAAAAAAAAGTTTTTGAACTGTTTTTGGAGATTTTCTATCCACTGTAATTATATTTTCATGATATTAAAGTACTAAGTATTGTCATTGATTGTAAATGTTTTTTTCTTCATTAAAAACAGCCTATATTAAATTCAGAACAACAAATTCTATGACTTATAAATGCTTAATCATTTAAATATATTTTGCTTCAAACTTTGCTTCAAAAATTGTCAAAATCAAAAATCTTAATCACTCTAAAAATAGACTTCAGTTTCTTTATGCATTTCCTATTTCTTTATTTTGATTTTGGGGTTGAATATGATCTCTAAAATCAATATTTGATTTAAAATCTATGAATTCAGATAATCCTGTGTTCTTTGTGCAAGTATTTTAATCCTTTAGTCCAAACATAGATTCAAATTTAAGACAAAAACTGGGCAAAAACAACTGCTGAGAGCAGCACAGGAGGAGAGGGGCAGGTCTGAGGCGACGGGGTGAAAACCAGCAGCTCACAAACAAACGCCTGACAGCAGGAAACATGCAATAAAAGAAGACAAAGAGAGAGACTTTATGAGCCTCACACAGGTGGCCAGGTGGACACACACACTCAAACACACACACAGAGATGTAATGAGGGTTGCACGTCTGATTTCGTCCTGCAGAAACACACATCTTCATTTCCAACTTCTGCAATGCAGATTTAATAATTAAATCCTAAATAAACACAACTTTAGTCCGACTAACTCTGACTCTCCAACTCTCAGCTTTTTTCCGCCACATGAAATGAGACACCAAACAAGAGCGTTTTGCATTAACTTGTATATTTTTGCATTAAAGTTAACATGTTTCCAGCTGTTTCTCCATTCTTTCATGTTGCAGTAAGTGTTGATATTTTGTTATATTCAGACATGAGTAAATCTGTCCTTTGCAATAAATATCATAAAATAATAGAGCTTCACATAATAAATATTTTTTACAACATCAACAACAACGAAAAAAGATTTAACAGTCTTAACATTTCCTTTTAAAAATAGCCGTAAATTCATCTTGCACATTTGAACATACATGTTTACATGAGAACGAACAGACAGTTTCAGAACGAAAGATCGCCTGTAGATCCGATAACAGCTACATATCACAGTCCTTCACAGGTTTGGTAGGAGGCGTTTCAAAGCACCATCGCGTGTTAGATAGTAGCTGTACACAGTCAGGTAAGGCAAACACTGGGGCTGTGTTCCACTCCATTTTTTATGCCCTTCACTCACAAACTTCCCTCGGTCTCGTTTACTTGGATGTACGTCATTGATTACGTTGCATGAGTGCCCACTAATGCAATATAATGGGCAGAATTGGAACGTCCTAAGCCCTTGATCACTTAGAATCCGCTATGGAGTTGGTTTATTGTTTACAAGTTTCCCCTTACAAATTTGTTTGGTACAGCTTTCTATATATATATACAGGAATGCTTGGGCTGTTATAACTTCATAATCGTGTTGCATTGTGGTCTATGGAGCGGCCTGAAGTGTGCATATGAAGACCGATATCAAAATCGGTCCATATAAACTTCACGAAGTGGAACGCACTTCAAAGTGGCATTCCCCCGAGGGGAAGTGTTTAGGGAAGTTCGCAAGTGCGTGTCTAAAAGTGGAGTGAAACGCAGCCAGGTTCAGAAAACAAACGAGTGGTTCTTCCGCGCCGTGAGGGGCGGAGCTTATCAGGCACTCATTAACATAATCCCTCCCCGCCCCATTTGCAATTTCCGCATCCTGCAGCAGCAAAACCAGCTTTTTTCAGCTAAAGAAATATGAGATTTCTCAGGACGGTTTTCCCGGCGCATGTCCGGGCGTCTGGTTCCAGTTCTGCAGCTTGCAGTAAACGGTGTTAGAGTTCTTGCAGCGGCATCCAGGCCGCTTCACGCGGTCGTGGCACGAGTTGCACGCTTTCACGCAGCCCTTAGCGGGCAGGTAACACAGCAGACACGGAAAGAGCGCCGACATGAGTCCCATGCACAGAAAGCGCGAGCAGCACTGCGGATGCGACAGAGAACACGGCCGGTCGGCGCAAGGGTCGCCAACGTCATCATCGTCGTTTGAGCAATGATAAAAAATCCCTTTGACCAAACACATGCATGTCCCATGCTCCACGACATTTTCGGCCGAACACAGGCATTGTCCGTTGCACGCGAGGCGTGCCGGAAGCGGACGAGGCGCCATGCATTCGCTGCATTTGCATTTCCCGCAGCTCTCGCAGATGTATAAATGCGCCGAGTCCAGTTTTTCCTGTTTGAGAGGAACGTCTGGCGGGAGAAACGGATGCATGGATGCGTTCAGAGATTTCGGCTGAGTCCGTACGGCGTGATTGCGATAATGCGACGGCGCCAGCAGGCCTCGCTCTGATCCGTCACTGCTGTTGCTCCCGGAGCTCGTGGATCTGCTGAGCGCTGGCGGACGTGCCGCTCGGTGCTCGTAGTTGTTATTCACGTTCACCAGGATCACCTCGTGAGTCCTGTCCTGCTTGTCTGCATTGCGCGGTGGAGGCCCCGGGGCCGGTCTGTGTGCTACGGCCAGGCCCTCAGAGTACTCGTTGCATGAACGGATGGCTTTGATCTGGTCCAGGGAAAGGATGGCACCGGATGGGAGGCTTGCTCCGCGCTGACAGTAGCGATCCATGAGACACGATCAGGAACTCCAAACAACACGGATGCAACGCTCATCTGACAATCTGAGAGACAAGCAGAGAGAGACGTCATTCTCAACATGCAATTAATGCAATCAGATCATTTCATTTTTTGTTGTTTTTTTGGTGTCTCTAGTACACTTTAAGCCAATGTTTATGATACAGCCTCACTCTTAAAAAAAGGTTCTTTATTGGCATCTACTGGTTCCATGAAGAACCTTTAACATTCGTTCTTTACAGTGGAAAAAGCTGCTTTGACACAATCTGTATTGTATAAAGCGCTATATAGATAAAGGTGACTTGACTTGAAAAAGGTTCTTTAGATTATTAAAATGTTCTCAAATTCACACTTAGACAAAAAAAAAGTTATTTTAAGAACTAACCACTAAAAGGTTCCAAAACCAAAAACTTTTTTTCTACACTTTTAAAAATAAAGGCTCTCTACTGACATCTACTGGTTCCATGAAGAACCTTGAACATTAATGGAAACTCAATTCCAAAAAAGTTATTTAGTTTATTAAAATGTTCTTTACACTTAGGAATAATGGTTATTTTAAGTACTGTTTGCTGAAAGGTTCTTTGGGAAAGCAAAAATGGTTCTTCTGATGGTTCCATGAAGAACCTTTAGCATCAATTCAACAACTAAAGGTTGTTTATAGTGGCAAAAGTTTTCTTAGATCATTAAAATGTTCTTTACACTTAAAAAATGGTTATTTTAAGAATGGACCACTGAAAGGATCTTTTAGAAGCCAAAAATTGTGCTTTATTGGAATCTATTGGTTCCATGAAGAACCTTTAACATCAATGAAACCTTTTCATTCCTCAAAAGATTATTTAGATTATTATAATAAGACAAAAATTGTTTGGCAACACTTTTCTTGAAGCCATATTATATAAAAGTGCTTCAAAATAAACATTCTAAACAGGTTCTTTTCACAGCCATTTTTGGTTCACTAAAGAACATTTTAAAATTAAACTTTCCTTATTGGCATTGATAGCTGCATGAAGAACCTGTAACATCCACAGAACCTTTCCATTCTCCATTCCACTAAAGGTCCTTTATAGTTGAAAATGTTTCTTTATATTTTTACAGGTTCTTTAAACTAAGAAACAATGGTTCTGTAACACTTTGATGCATTATAAACTTATTTTAATGCATTAATTGTGCCTTGCAGTGCACCTTAAAATGCATCGGAAATAATTGTAACTGTTAATCGTTAGACCTTTAGAAGGCATAAAGCATTGAAACACATGACAAACAACCATTTTCTGATGTAACAAACAACCTTCAAACATTATAACGCATTTTAAATGATTACAATTATTTATGAAAACATATAAAGCTAATAACATACATTATGATGCATTAAGCGTAAACGCTTCAAGTAAATTGTTACCAAACCACTTTTTCTAAAACATCTAAAGAATTAATCAAGAACCTTTTGTGGAATGGAATGTTAAAGATTCTTCACGAATCTATCGATGCAGTAACAAACATTTCACCAATGGTTCTTTTGAGAACTCTTCACTAACAAGTTACAAAAATGGTTGCAAAAACTATTATTTTGAAGCATGTACTGATAAAAAAAACGTATCTAACTAGTGGTTACTAAAGCGTTCAAGCACCCTGTTGGAGCACATGCACACTCTCAGGCCCCAGAGCTTTTGTTTTTGACTTCCTCTGGGAGGTTCAAGCCTTAATTAGAGGGTCAAACCCCCTGGATACAATTCACACCCCGGTGTTAGGAGATGCACGATCACCGCGGGCTTTATTCTGATGTGACGCTCTAAAATCGCAGATCTGGACTGAACGTGTGCAGATGTACTTTCTGAGACAGAGCTCATAAATCACACCGCAGAAGCGAGCGTGTGTGCGCGTGTGTGTGTGTGTGTGTGTGTGTGAAATGAAGGTCTCCAGCTCTGTTCTTTCTATTCACAGAGCCATTTAACCCCCGAGCGGAGAGAGAGAGTTGACTATTAACAAGACTTTGTACCGACCTCAATAAGCACACAACTGAAGTAAAGTACAAACACTTCCCGTCCTGATTTGCATGTGTATGGCTGGTTAACATTAAAATGCAGAGCCACACAGAGCAGGAAGCCTTCAAATCAAACACAGAGCTTCACACGCTTCTCAAAGCGCTTTATGATGCGGGACGAGTCCGAAACTTCACGAGGCTTCGGCGATTTACTCATTAGTTCAGAAGTGTAAACGGAGAGAACGGAATAAAATCGTCTGAGCTAATAAAATTAAGCATGCAAAACGAAAAAAGCACAGATTAGAAAATTTCGCGTTAATATCGGATGCGCTACTGTTGCGTTAAATCAATAAAAACAATCCGCAATGATAGGTTTTTATGCAAAAAAAAAAAAAAAGATATCGGTTTATATTCTTTGTTCAACCCAGTATCGTTTTATCCGTGCATCTTTAACAAATATAATACGTAAAAAAAAAAACCGCGTTCGCGGAAAAAACGCAGAACGACAAGAAAAAGCAAACTTATGAATGAAAACAAGCCCGCTGGGGGAGGAGTGTGTGTGTGTGTGTGTGTGTGTGTGTGTACCTTGTGTGTATTCGGGCTTAAACACACGCACACGCTCATACACACACAGCCTGAAGCGCATAATATGATTATGAACATAAGTTTTGAGTAATAAACGCGAGTTTGTTGCGCGCAGCGACCTGTGGAGCCCCAGAGCTCCGGTTTCAGAGATCCACACACGATCTCCGTCCAATCCTGCCCGATTCTGCATTAAATAACACGGATGTGTGTGTGAGGAATGATACGTACCTACAGACAGACTCCCATAATGTCAGATCCATCGGTCCGTGTGCCAAACATCCATCAATATGTCCAGAGCGAGGCCAAAAATCAGCGCATGACCGCGAGCGTAACATCCAGAGGAGACTCCGCGGGGAAAAGCAGAAGGAATCCGGTTAAATCCACGAATGAAGCGCGTTCGCCGCTGGTTTAGCGTCCGTGCGCCGCGTCAGACTCTGCGTGAGTGTGTCGGATCAGATGCGTGCGCTGTTTTTGCGCACACACACACACACACACACACACACACACACACACACTGATGAATGAAAGAGGATCATGGGGCCGATGCAGGAGGGGCGGACTAGCTCTGGCTTTAAGGTGGATCGTGTGAAACAAACGCGCATCTGCTGCTGAGCGTCACCGCGGCGCGTCACGCGCGCATTCAACATCTGCGCATTTACTCCAAGACTTTATGTGTACATACTGCGTTCTGTGCTTACATAGCTAACTCAATAGAGAGATTTATCATCAATAAAAAGTATTGATATGCTAGTATGTGAAATACAATTCATATAAGCCGAATGTGTCTTTGATTTGTTTTTTTTTTTTTGCAACATTTTCACTCAGTTACACTTGTGTGTCTGGTAATAAAGTGTTTTATGCATTATTATTTTGTTTCTGATTTAGAAATGCAATACCGGTAATCTTTAACACTACTGAGTAGGCTATTAGTCTCGCAGTTTACTTCATTTTTGTCATGAAGGACAGCTGTACTAAACTTGTAGATAATGAAAATATAACTAAATCAGATCTCATTAATAGTTTTCAGTGTTTGTCCATAAAACATCTCGAAAACATCAGATCAAAAACACGAGCAGCGCTGGCGCGACCTTAAGAGAGCGAGCGCAAACCCCCCTCACCATGTACTGCTGAGAGGCAGCAGTGAAAATGACTTTGACATTTAGTTTTACATCACTATATTGTTTGTTACATAAGCAAAAACATAAAACAAATATTTTGTAAGATATTATAGACTATTATACATATATGATAGACTGCTATATTATATTATTAATATTATATATGATTAATAATAACAGCTTTAATATTCATTATTAATATATTAAGCTATTTTGTAGCACCAGTGTTGTTTTAGTAGCTATTATGTATATAGCATTATATTAATTAGGTAATATTTTGAATTAACTTTTTTTTTTTATGTTTTCAGTTTTTTATTTTAATTTTAGTTTTGGTGTGCTTTTGTCCTTTTTTCATTTATTTTTAAATACTTATTTTGTTTCAGTTAGTTGCAAAAGCAACATTTCTCATTTTTGTTTAGGTTTTTTAAGTTTAAGTTTTTCATCAAAATTGTATATTTTCTTTTATTTCCTCTTGTTCAGTAAAGTAAACATTTTATAATAGTTTTAGATATCAATGTGCAGCACTGCAGGCTTTTTGCACATAGAACCTTCTTTTTTCATTTTAATGTTTTTTTAATGCTAATCTTAAGAACATGTTATAAAACATCAAGAACCTCAACATCAAGGTTAAATTGATTTTTTTTACCTTTTATGGGCATTTTTACCTTTATAAAGCCTTTATTTTCTAAAAGTGTGCACATGTTCAGTCAAATTCTTAAATTGAATCAGTCAATTAGAATAAGTCATTTGGGGTGTTACCAAGCAAATTTAAATGTTTTTTTTATTTCAGTTAGTTGCCAAGGCAACATTTCTGATTTTTAAGTTTTTAAAGTTTAAGTTATATAATAAAAATATTTTAAAAAAATCTAAATAAATAAATAAATAAAAATAACACAAACTAAATAAGAAATACTACTGTAATATTTCAATGTAAAATAAAAAACGAGTATTTAAGGAAAATAAAAATAATAGTAATAATTTTACATTACAACTCTAAAATTACAATACTAATATTTCTAATTTCTTCATTTTCAAGCATTAAAACATCAAACTTTTAATTTGACTGAAAACCACAGGGAGCCCTTAAAGATTAAATTAGATATATTAAACATAAAACGTTGAATACTGATATTTGAATTATTATTTTTTTTAAATGAAAATATATTTTAAATGTGAAATTAAAACCGCCAGTAGGTGGCAGCAAGTCACTGTTAATAAGTGAGTCATTGCGACTGAACCGAATCATTTAAACGGTTGATTCATTCAGGAACGAAACAGCGCCATGTTGCTCAGAAACGCAAATTGGAATTATATTTGTTGGCGAAATAGAGCAAAAACAGTCAATATTGTGTCTAAAACGTAAGTGTCTTAGTATTAAATTCTTGTTTATTTAACTGCTGTATAAAACCAAAATCACATTTGTAATCATGCTGCAATCAATTTTGGTGGAAAAAACGTCAGTCCTTGTGTGATAATGATTAACTATGAAATGATATAAATATATACATTTTTGTCCCCATGTCTTGAATTTTGTGATCATTCTAAATGCATTTTAATAAACTGAATCATGCAGTGAAAAAACGCGCACTGCTCTAACCTACTAGTGAGCTAAACTTTAGCTAACTTACATTGTAGCTCTCATGAGTCATGGATGTTAGCAAGACAAATTAACAATATTTGCCTTTTGTTTTTTTTTTGGATAATTAGCTGTAAATTCGAGGCACAGGTAGCTTAGTCTTTTGTTCATCAGCACTCGCCTCCACAGCAAGTGGAAAGGGAGAGAGGGCTTTACATCTGCGGCTCTCTGTCTGTCTGTGATGTGATGTGCCGATCAGTGTGTGCTACACTGCTGTGTTGCGCGGAGATGCGGAGGGAGAAAGGCATCAGAACTCCACAGAGTCTCAACATTTCCTGACCCAACCTGATATTTTGATTTTTTATTTGTATGACAGGGAAAGCTGTGCGCAAACAGAAACACATGCACACATATACATATACATTTATTAAAAAAAAAAAATAAATAAAGAACTCCCCAGAAAAAAGGACACTTTCTCTCGAGGAAGAAAAAGGGCAGATGCTCAAGTTCCCTTTGATGTCTGTGTGTGCACTTGCCTGCCTGTGACCTCAAATCATGTTTTTGGCCACGCCCACAAATAGATGACAATAATTCTTCCTGTGTGTGAAGAGCTGCAGGTCACTGACTGTCAGACGCTGCAGGTGTGTAAAGTTTTACAGCACAAAACCATAAAACACTGCTCTGTCATCAAATAAAACCTTTATAGATCTCAAACTTCTTTAAGACCAGATGAACACACACACACACACACACACATATACATGTATGTATGTATGTATGTATATGGAGATTATATGTGTGTGTGTGTGTGTGTGTAGAGCTGACCATGGCTGAAATGAGGCAGAGTCTGGAGCAGGAGAGAGAGCGGCTGGGGGGTACTCCAATTTAAATGTTTTTTTTATTTCAGTTAGTTGCCAAGGCAACATTTCTGATTTTTAAGTTTTTAAAGTTTAAGTTATATAATAAAAATATTTTAAAAAAATCTAAATAAATAAATAAATAAAAATAACACAAACTAAATAAGAAATACTACTGTAATATTTCAATGTAAAATAAAAAACGAGTATTTAAGGAAAATAAAAATAATAGTAATAATTTTACATTACAACTCTAAAATTACAATACTAATATTTCTAATTTCTTCATTTTCAAGCATTAAAACATCAAACTTTTAATTTGACTGAAAACCACAGGGAGCCCTTAAAGATTAAATTATATTAAATTATCTTATTTAAACGTAAATTGTTTATATAACATGCAGCCTTTGCAATTTGATAATCACACTAAAGCCATATCACAATTTATCTTGATTAACTGCACAGCCCTAATTTATGGTGTTAAAGGATCCACAGAGTTTACCCGATATTCTACTAACATAAAAACCCCAAACACAGTGAATATTGTTCTAAAGTCTGTTTAAGTTAGATTTTTAACACTTTTGGGCAATGAATGAAATATTATCAGCATACTTTGAAGATTTCTCTTGACTCATTAACATTTTTATTGAGCTCATTGGAGGTATTGGACAAAACAAAGTGTTTTTTTTTTTTGTCTCAGTAGTGAATGTGAATGATCTGATCATAACACACTCGTGTGTGTGTGTGCGTCTGTGTGTGTGTATGTCGTGTGTGTGTGTGTGTGTGTATGTCGTGTTGCCGTCTGTCAGCTCTGAGCACACAGAAGTGGTTTGATGGCAAACAGCCTGACCACAAATTAGCACAGCGTTCAGGAGAAACATGCAGCAAAAATAATTTTCTATAATTACTAAACTATTTTTAACCAACAAAACCGTCCGCTTACAGAAGCAGCAGTGCAGTGTGGATCTGAGCGCTTTCCAGAGCTGCGTTTAGAGAAGAGGTTTCACACCACAGCAGGAAGTGAGCGTGCAGAGACTTCCTGTGTGCTGAGAGAACGATCGGGAAAACAGTTCAGATAGTAGTGCTGATGCTACTGTCAGGATTATGGATTGTCTGTGTCATGTTTTGCCCCTGTTTCTGTTCCTGTCCTCATTTTGTTAATTAGTTTGATTAGTCATCCCATGCACCTGTGTTTCCCCAATCATCCCCTGTATTTAAGTCCTGGTCTGTGCAGTCTGTCTCTGTCGGTTCTACATGTGTGTTGGCTCAAGCTCCTATTGTGGATTATCTCCAGTGTTTTGTGATTAAAGACTGTTAAACGTTTCCTCGTGACTCCAGCGTGTTCCCTCAACAGCGTAACGTGACAGCTACTAGTTCCTCCACAACACACTCAGCAGAGAGGAAGCACTTCCTGTCATCACAGACATGACTGCATATGATATTATAAATAAAAATATTTAATATTATATATAAATTATATTATACACTATATTGCCAAAAGTATTGGGACACTCCCTTCTAATGAACAGGTTTGACTACTTTAGTCATCTCCATGAGTACAAATCTTAATGTTTGAGCATATAACGATATTCAAGGGAACTGTGTGCTTCTAATTTTATAAATGAGTAAGAGGGTGGCTAACCGCACACTGATCCACTCAAGACTAAAAAGTCTACTAAAACATCTTTTTAATTTTTATAAATTGCATTGTGCAAAAGTGTAAAGTGCATGTGAATTAAAAACAGATGGACACGAGCAAGCAAGCAAACGTTTGCTTGCTTGCTCATGTCCATCTGTTTTTAATTCAGTTTTTAATTTAAAAGCTCTACGCACCTGCAGTACAAGGAACTATTGTTTTGGAGCGCTACAATTTTCTCAAGTTTTCTTCTAATTTTATAGTAATAGTTTGGACAGGAGCCTTTTCTATTCTAACATGACAATGCCTCT